ATGTATCGGAAAACATTTAAGTTGCTTCAAAATTTGGCTATTGCAAATAATGCTGCAATAAACATAGGGGTGCATATGTCTTTTCAGATTAGTGTCTGAACTTTCTTTGGGTAAATTACCCAGTAGTAGAATTACTGGATCATATGGTATTTCTATTTTTAATATTCTGAGGTACTTCTCTTATTGTTTTCCACAGTGGTTGCATTGCCACCAGCAGTACATGAGGGTTATCTTTCCTCCATGTCCTCATGAACACTTAGTATTTCTTTTTTAATACTAGCCATTTTGACAGATGTGTGGTGATATCTCATTGTGATTTTGATTTGCATTTTCACAATGATTAGTGATGTTGAGCATTTTTTTCATGTGTCTCTTGGTAATCCATATGCCTTCTTTGGAAAAGTGTCAAATCATTCAGATAAACCAAATCCTCCCTTAATATTTTCCTCACCCAATCTGTGTAACCAGAGGTAACTCAAGAGTGTTGTATAAATTCTACCGTACTGTTTGTATTGTTCTATGAATTGCTTATTTTAAGCTTATCACTATGTCTTGAACATTTTTAATAATAACACTTAATAGAGTTACCTCATTCTTTTTACTGCTATAGAGTATTTTGTAATATAGATGTACTTAGTACTTGATTTAACCATCCCTTAATGATGGATCTTTTTTATTACAAAGAACACTGCAGTGAGTATCATACATGTCTTTGTATGCAGATATTCATTTATTCAGTCTGTCATTCTGTCACTCGTCAAATAATCACTCATTGCCTGCCATGAATCACAGACTGTTCTGGGACCTGGAGCTACATTGGAGAGCAAAACAAAAACAAATTTTTGAGCTCATCCTAAGTGGGGAAGATAGACAACAAACTACTAAATACATAGGATGCCTGATTCTGATTAGGACAAAGAAGAAAAAGAAAGTGGGATAAAGCAACAGAGTAAACCATAAAGGACACACTAATTATATATTGTGTAATTGGGAATTCAACTCCCAGAAAGGTATTTTAGCAGAGCCCTTAGTGAAATGAATGAGCAGCCTAGGCAGAAATCTTGTAGAAAAGGGGATCTAACTCCATAGGCTAGGGCTCTGATGCAGTCGTATGCTTGGTAGTTTGGGAAGATGAAAGAAATCTGTGTGGGCAAAGCAAAGTAAGAAAGGGGGAAAATAGTAAGAGAATCAATCAGAGAGAGACCTGGTGTGTATGCTGTTTTGGAGGAAAAGTGGATGACATAAAGTCTTTGGATTTTATGCAAAAAATAAATGGTTTCTGGAGATAGAAGAACTGAAAGCAAGGATTTGAACAGATATTTGTACACCGGTATTCATAGCAGCATTTTTCACAATAGCCAAATAACCCAAACGCCTGGTGATGGATAAAGAAAATGTGGCATATACATAGAAGGGAATAATATTTCTTAAAAAAGAATGAAGTTCTGAGAAGTGCAGTGTGGATGAACCTCGAAAATGTTATACTAAATGAATTAAATCAGACGTAAAAGGACAAATATTGTACAACTCTGTTTATATGAGGTACATAGATGACTAGTTCATAGACACAGAAAGTAGAACAGTGGTTGCCAGGGACTCAGGAAACATGAACAGAGGGTTATTGTTTGGTGGGCATGGAGTTTCAGTTTAGAAAGATGACACGGTTCTGGAGGTGGATGGTGGTGATGGCTGCACAGCAGTGTGGACGTATTTAATGTCATGAACTGTACACTTAAGGACAGTTATGTATATTTTACCACAATTGGGAAAAAAAAGTACAGATTCCTGGGACCTACCAGGGACCTGCTGAATCAGGAGGGGACAAATGGGAGGGATGAGAAGCCATTGAAAGGATTTGAGCAAAACTGATATAAATGTAGATCTTGGAAGTGTGTGTGAAAACATCAAGCTCTGGGATATTGCAGTTTCTGGAGGCACAGAAGATGAATTACAGCCAACAAAGGAGGCTGGTCAGACTGGCCAGTGAGTTAGCAGGAAAACCATGAGAGAGTTCTGTCTTTGAGGCTAAAGGAGGAAAAACTTTTAAGAGCAAAATCACCACTCTTCGATTTGTGAGTATTTTTTCCTGGGTTGATCCCCAGGACTGACTTTCTGAGTTAGAGGTTATGAGGAGGTTGTGAATGAATTTAAATTTTTAATGTGTACTCACAAAACACTCTCCAAAGAGAAATTTTCATTTCTACCAAAGAGTATGAGAGACATTTATTTTAAAACATTATATTACCAATCTTGTTAATTTCTACCAATCTCTTAAACAGTGAGATCTCATTCTATTTTCTCCTGAATGCTAATAAGATTGAACCTCTCTTCATATGATTATTAACCAGTTGTATTACTTATGGGATTTCCTAATTCTACCTTTTGTTTTTCTAATTTTTTAATCTTTCTTGAACTGATATCTAAAACCTGTACTTTTTCTTAAATATAAGGCCATAATTGGATCCAAGATGAGGAAAGGCACATTTGAATAATAGATGTTGTATAAGGCAAGTAGTAGGGAAGGAAAGGATTAAAGGAAAGACAAGAATGTTAAGTGGCTGGACCTTCAAAGGAGTTGAATCTTAAGATTTATGTTTTCATTTCAAGTTTTTTGATGGATGTGCTTTATCCTTAAGATTCTTTGGAGTAAATAATATACAAGCTTTAAACTAGTGTAAACAATACAGTGATGACTATCTTCTATACACACTTCTGCACCCAGATTTTGATTTTTCACATCAGCGGGATGAACATTGGTCCTTCAATTTTGCCTCTAAGGATGATGTGTTTGCAACTGTGTTACCAAGTTCAGAGTGTGTGTGTGTGTGTGTGTGTGTGTGTGTGTGTGTGTGTGTGTGAGAGAGAGAGAGACAGAGAGAGAGAGAGACAGAGAGACAGAGAGACAGAGAGATCAACTGCAATATAGCATAGTGACTTTACATACAGTTTATGTGAGTAGGTGAAAATGTTTTTGAAAACCAATGAAAATATAGAGTCTTTCAATCTTGTTCCCACTGTGTTTCACATTATTCTAGAATGCCTAAGACAAAGTTACCTTAGTTGCCCTAGTGACTGTCTTGGTGTCAGACTATCTGCCGTGATGACAAATGTGGATCTTAAGTGGATCTTGCTTGGGCAGATTGTCCCAACCTGGTGAATGAAGGAGACCACGGGGCCAGATGTCAGGTGATCTGGTACCAGCTCTGCTAATATCTAACCACATGACTTACTCCAAGTCACTTCACCTCTGTGGGTCATATTGGCAAAATCAAAATGAGGGATCAAGGCTACATCAGGCATTTGGATTCTGTCATTTACAATGGAACAGTGGTTCTACCTCATATGAACTGCAAATCCTTGAGTAAATCACTTAATCTCTATAAACCTGATTTATGCTTTCAATTTGTAAAGGAGGCTACCAGCACTTGAAACCTGATGTGAGACTTAGCTTTAACATATCTAAAGTATCTATCATTTTGAAGGCATTTAAGAAATGATTACCATGATTCCTCTTAGTGATCTGTAAAGTTCCTTCCAGGACTCACATCCGGTTATTTTTTATTTGTGAGAAAAATAAGGAAGGGTGATAGGCAGGAGAAGTAAAAATGAAGAACATTTGTGCATGATCCTACAGTCTAATCTATTTGCAAGATTGTGTTGATCCATATATTTATTTTTTCCCTTATTTTTTTTCCCTTTTCCTTTTATTTGTAGAAAATTGTTCCTTTAGTAGATATTATTATCTTCAGTGAGGGGTAGGTTAAAGTGGAGACATTGACATCATTAAAAACATCATTCAAATTTCCATAGTTCTTACTAGGGGCTGTGGGTACCAAATACCAGTTATGGATGCAGGAGTCATTGGACTGATCTCAGAACAGCATCCTGGTAAACGTTTAAGACAAGAATCAACAAAAGCCACGTGTTTTTTGAGGTGCTATTCATCACTGGCATCTAGAAACTTCTAGTTTTTTTGGAACTAAAAGTCATAAATCCTCATTCAGTTCCGAAAGGGCCTAAAAATGAATTTAGTATTTGGCTGTAACTTGAGGCAGCTATTTGATGGTATATAATTAACGATTATATTTTAAGAGTATGATGGGAGCTGAGAATGATCATTTGTCACTTTTAAAGTAAATATGTTTTTATTGGGGCTTTATAACTCAGAGTTTCCACCTGTCAGAAAATGTATAGTTTTACATCTGAAAAGAGATGATGACATTCAGCCCTACCATTGTCCTGATGAAAAACCTGAGGCCTAGATGAGTGAGTAAATCCTTAGAAGTCTCAGGGCCAATATGGGAAGAGAGACAAGTCACCTGCCACGTGTTCCTCCCATGGTAAATGGGGCCAGAGGGGTGATGAAACCCTACTTAACCCCCCCAGCATTTGCAGTGTGCCTTTTTTTTTTTTTGCATTCCTGAAACTTCTACTTTGAGTCCCAATGTATCATTTTTTATATTAAATTAAATTAAATTAAATACTTATTTTTAAATTTTTATTTAAATTCCAGTTAGTTATAACAGACACTGTAATATTAGTTTCAGGTGTACAATATAGTGATTCAGCACTTCCATACATCACCTGGTGCTCTTTGCAAGTGCACTCCTTAATCCCCATAACCTGTTTAACCTATCCCCACCCCACCTCCTCTCTGATAACCATTCAGTATAGTTAAGAGTGTATTAAAAAAAAAAAGTCTGTTTCTTGGTTTGCCCCCTCTCTTTTTTTTCCCTATGCGTGTTTGTTTTATTTCTTAAATTACACATATGAGTGAAATCATATGGCATTTGTCCTTCTCTGACTTATTTCACTTAGCATTATACTCTCTGGCTCCACCCATGTCATTGCAAATGGCAAGTTTTCATTTGCTTTTATAGCTGAGTAATATTCCATTGTATATATACCACATCTTCTTTATCTATTCATCAGTCGGTGGACACTTGGGCTGTTTCCATAACTTGGCCATTGTAGATAATGTTGCTATAAACTTGGCCATTGTAGATAATGTAGATAATGTATCATAGTATAATATAGAAATAATACTTTGAATCAGTGGATCCTCTTGCTGCAGTAAAGTCCAACAAAACATTACCATCTAAAGCAAACCCGCTATGCTGATCTCTGTTCAAGAAATGGTTTGTCTTTTGAAGAAGTGCTGTTCCTATTGATGCCTTTCCTGGGATCCACACCTCAAACACTCCTCTCTGTTCTCCAAGGAGCCCACCAGGTGGAGGTGCTCCTCTCCTTCTCTTCCACTTTTGATGCCTTGTCCTTATCGGGGTGATGAAAGGAGGCCCTAAGAAGAAGAATACTTTTAAAAATAAAAAAAATTATAAACATTATTTTTAAACTTATATTTGTATAACATTTAAAAATATTTTAAAATTTTTGTTTAAATTCCAGTTTAGGTTATTTAAATTCCAATTAGCTAATATGCAATGTAATATTAATTTCAAGTGCAAAACTATTTTTAAAATAACAGATTTCAGAAGTCAGGGTTCATTCAGAGGAAGGCCAATTATTAGTAGGTTCATTTTTGTCTTCTAGAAAAAGGCAGCATACAGAGACAAGAACAACCCTTTTACCCTCTTTGCTGAGTTTATTTTCCTGTAGGTGATATTTTTTCTTATTTTATTTTTCAAGGCATTGAAATGTTTGAGATTTTTTTTGAGACTATTTTATTTTGGCAGGTATGTTTACAGCCTCATACATTTTTGTACAAGGAAAACTAGTGCTGAGTAAGAGGAAGGCAAGAATAAGAACTCTGCCTTTTGTTTTTGTTTTTGTTTGTTTTGTATTTTTTTTTTGTGATTCCTAGCATGCATATTTTATATCATTATTTGTGTGTGTGTGTGTGTTTTTTTTTTTTTTTAAAGAAAATCATGTTCTTTAGGGAGTGAACTCTTGGCTCTAATTTAGGGACTCTTAAGGAATAAAATAAGAGATATAGGGAAAGGATTTAGGGGATATCAGTGTAATATTTCACATGCTTGGTTTTGTTTGTATAAAGATAACATAGGGATTCCTGGGTGGCTCAGTCAGTTGAGCATCCTACCTCTTGATTTCGGTTCAGGTCATGATCCCAGGGTAGTGGATTGAGTCCCATGTGTAGCTCCATGCTGAGTGTGGAGACTGCTTGGGATTCTCTCTCTCTCTTCTGTCTCTCTTTCTCTCTGTCTCTCTCTCTCTCTCTCTAAAAAAATTAAAAAGTGAAATAAGATAACAGGATTATTGTCTTGCACTGCTACCATCTACTGTTCCCTTATCACTACGACTACTGCTTGCACTAATTGTGCCAATAGGCGCAGGTTATTAATGTCAGAATCTGGCATGTATATGACATGCATATATGTACCTATGTATATATACACATTTGCTAGTAAAGGTTGACTGTGATTAGACACCATACATCTTAAATTGTAGAATCACATATATTAGAATAGGAGAAAGTCTGAGTACACGGAAGGAATTCTCATGTCTATTTACTTTTATGTCCTCTCAGTTTTGGCAAGAGAACAGACCTGACTATGTCAACATCCAGCTGTACCTCAGTCAAACAGATGGGATACAGGTATGTGGTTGGATGTTTTCATAAATTAAACAAGCCTCTTGATAATAGAAGATCTACTCTAAGGGCCATGCTGGAAGAACATTTCTGCAGGTGGTTTGAATAGAAGTTTCCCAGAGGAAGGCCTCTTTTGGAATGTGTCCAGAAAACCCATGGCTTGTCCTTGAAGCTAACCGTATTAGGTCTTTCATCTGTCCTCCTCACAGGGAGCGGGAACAGACCTTTGAGATCATCTCTCTCCTTTTCACTGTTATCTCAAACTCTTCACCTCCAGAAACCAGACCATGAGCGAACAGTCTCATGATTGTGTTCATCAAGGGGAGTTTTTATGTGGAGAGACAAGATAAGATCATATGTAGTTAAGCTTATTTCTCTTCAAGGGAAACTAAACAACATAGTAATAGCCATTACGCATCATGTACTTACTATACTAGGGACCCTGTGCTCAGCATCTCATATTCATTATCTTGTGTAATTGCAACAGATCCAAGAGGTAGATGATATTGCCATCCTCACATTATAGATGAGGAAACTGAGGTTTACAGATGGCATGGAAGTGCTGCACAGGTGTATAAATCTGGGCATGAATGCTTTTACAAGTTTTATTTTAGTATTTTCCATTATATATTTTCTATAATACTTTGAATACAAACTATGAATGCTTGCCAGTTACTTCAAAACTAACCTAACCCTATTTTTTCTAGTCAGATTTCTACCCCATTTGGTATGTAAAAAAATATTTCATTTTCCTATTCTCATGAAGCAAGTCAGTATCATTATTCCTCATGGTATGGCTGTAATTAAGGTATGGAGCATAAATGGCATTGGTTCTCCGTTTGTCTGCCTGGGACTCAGACACTCTCCCCCTCTCTTCTCACTTCCCTCTGACCCTTCATTGCTGATCCAGATCTAATATTCTGTTAATTGCAAACACCAACCCGTTAGAAGTTATTTTGTTGATCGACTCAAGATGTGGAGCTCTTCTGTCTTAGGCTGTCTTGTCTAGGATCATTTCCCCAAATTTATGATGACAATTTGTAGTATTTTACTCCTACAATGAGCCAAATATGACAACTGTATTTGCAGTGCAAAAACACTTCAATAAAGTCTATGTGCTACACCCTTTTTGAGAGTAGGCAATTAAAATGCCTTCTTTAACATTGTGGTTGTTAAAAATGAAGCAACTAACTGAAGTCTAGGAAAATCAGCCATTTGTAATAATGGAATTCAAGAAGATAATGGATTTTAAAGGAAAAGAGGAAGGAAATGATGTTTCTAAATGACTATACTTAATAGCTTGCCATTTGATACTTATATTCTTTAAATCACAGCAATTTGGTAGGAAGCCACAGCACCAGTAGAAATGATGTTAGAGAAATAAGTTATTCGTCCAACTCTGTGTCATATAAAATATAGTGCTTTCTTTTTGGCAGAAGATAATTGGAGAAAAATACCAAGCACTGAATTCAAGACTTTTTATTGGACGTCCTCGGTGGAAACTTCTGTTTGATGAAATAGCAAAATGTAACAGAGGGTAAGTACTAATTCTCAGGAAATTTACCATGTGGCTAATGATCAAATTAAAGTATTCTCAAGTCATAACATGTAGTTTTTAAAGATGAATTACGTAATGGGTTTACAAATGGCAAAGTCACTTAAACACTCAATTATCACTCTCAAAGAAGGAAGCAAGTCAGGGACCACCTCACACATATCTGTAACATCAAATAATTAAAATTTGGCTTAGAAATAGTCTATAAAGAATTTATGAAGAAACTATCCTATGTACTTTCAAATTTGCATAGACCCATATTAAAATGGGTATTCATTCCAACATCATGTATCAGGTGATCACTGGAAAAACTTTTCAAAATCATGTTGGCAAACAAGGGAACTCTACCAACATTTCTAACAATGAATGCGAAGAATCTTAGTATTATGAAATACGTGTCTGTGGTCTAAAGAGATTACCGTTTAAGGAAAGCATTCACTGTAAGGCACAGACTAGCCACAACCCCCCTTTTTTTGTAAACTTATTGTTCAAGGCAGTGGTCTATAAGAATTCTAAGAGTATTTTGAAAACAATATACCCACTCACACATTTTAAATTTGGTATTGAAATAGTTTCATCATAAGTTTAAATAGTTGCAAAGGCTCTAATTTCTAACATATTGCACATGCTGACATTTTAAAATTAATGTAACTCTTTTAAACCTGTCTACTGGAATTGAAATATCAGTTTTTTGATACCAACCTCATATATTTGTAAAGATATACAAAAAGCTTTCGCTAGCAATTGGAAATTTTACATTATTTTTTCTTAAAAATTTTTTTTTATTAATACTTATTTTTGAGAGAGAGAGAGAAACAGAGCATGAGTGGGGGAGGGGCAGAGAGAGAGAGAGAGAGGGAGACACAGAATCTAATGCAGGGTCCAGGCTCTGAGCTGTCAGCACAGAGTCCGACATGGTGCTCTAACTCACAAACCATGAGCTCATGACCTGAGCCAAAGTCAGACGCTTAACCAACTGAGCCACCAGGCTCCCATACATTATTTTTTCTACGTGAACTTGTATTTCCATTGTATTTAACCTATAGAATTTATCAAAATTCAATATGTTTTTACATTTGAACTAATTGTATTTTTGTTGCTTAAGTAAACATACTTCTGTAATAAGAATGTACATAAATTGAAGTTTTAATTTTTAAAATTTCCCTTGTTGCTCTCCTAGATTGATTTACTATTACAATTACTAGTATATAGTTAATCAATTCACAATTTTAAAAAAATACATTTTTATGAATATAAAAAGGATATTTGTGAATGAATGAGACAGCTTATCAGATGAAGAGTTTTAAAAATGCTTCAGTTCATGAACTCCTAGATAACTACAGTTTATTGAAAGAATCACTGATGTATCATGGCTCCTGGCTCCATCTTCAGAGATTTTGTTTTAGGAATTGTAATGGCTCCTGGAGCCCCGGGAACAAAATTTAAAAAAAATATATGGTTGACTCCTGACAAGCATCCTTTTGTTAATTTTCTTGGTATAGTGATGAAAACTTTGGGATTTTGTTATTGTTGCTATTGTTTTTCCTCAATTCGGAAACCAAACTCTATTACAGGAAAGGATCATTTATAAGAAATTAGATTGGGATTCTTGATTTCTTTGGTTCCTTCTTAAGAATTCTCATTAGTTAAACTGTTCATGATTTAGATTGATTTTGTATGTTTATTTGCTTGGTTGTTCATTTCCTTCAAACAGCAAAGCTGGTTTAAGAAGAGCAAGTGTATACCATCTGCTGTTGACATTTTGTACAACGCTTTCACTTTCTGTATTTGCTCTGGCCAGGCACCTAAAAACGCATTATTTTTAAAGAATTTTTACATGGCATATTTAGGAAAAGAATGGATGAACATCTTAAGGTTCATTAACTAGAAAAAAGGTGCTACTTAAAGAGAAGTCCTCATTTGAGATATAAAATTTTGGTTAACCTCATGTACATGAATTACTGAAAGAATATATAAAGTCACATACATACATACTTACGCATGTACATGTATATGTATGCATATATATTTAAAATCTATATACTGAAAATATGAACCTTAAATTTTAATGCAAATTGAATGAATCTATTACATAGAATTATTTAATGTAGTCTTTTTCAGATACACTCATATATTGTTCATGGATGATTTCCATGTAATTCTACCTCACAGTATTCTACAGTATGGATATATAGGTTACCTCCAGTTCTCTACCATTACTAACAGTGCTATAGTAATTATCTTTGCACATACTTTCTCAGGCTCTTTGGGAGTTGCAGTTCAAGGTTAGAATCCTTGAAATGGAATTGCTGGCTCAAAGAGTATACACATTTAAATACTGTCCTATCAGAACCAAAAGGCTGAATCAGTTTATGCTCAATTTACTTTGCACACATGTATGAGGTGGTTCCTTCCTTGTGTGGCTTTTTTAAATTCAGGAAATGAATTATGTAATGGTATTACATGATCAAGGAAAGTGAAGGAGCTTTTGAAGTCACCCTATTTTCATCATTATTTGACAAAAGAAGGAACTAGGACCCAAAAGGTAATGATTTATCTCAAGCTATGGTTAATGAATCAGAATTTATACATGAACCCTATCTTCTGACTGTAAAGTTCAATGTGCTTTATTTACAGCAAAACATTGTCCCAAATAGAAAGAATAGCAATTTTATTTTACCATGTCCCTCTTAGGGACAGTGAGATGTTGCAAGTGAGATGTGTTCATTATGTGTATTACAGCAGAATATTAACTATAATACACCAAAAGTCAACAACTAATTTTTCAAAAGTATAAAAAGATTCTAGATATTACTTCATAAGCCATTCAGTATTAAAAGCATGTCAGGAAATTTTTCGTTATGCCTAACCAAAGTCCAGTTTCCTCTTACTTGTAATAAAAATGCGTATCATATCATAAATTAGTCAAATTTATGCATTATACAAAAGGAGAAATAAAGGATTAACTTTATGTGGCCTTTGGAGTAGAGAACTAATACTCTGGGATTGAGTAAAATGTTTGAGACCGTATCTGTATATCTTCCTCCTGGTGTTTAAAAAATACAAATCTCTGTATCCATTCTAGCAATTTTGGGTAGAGTCTTTCAGGTTTTCTACATAGAGTACCATGTCGTCTGCGAATGGGAAAGTTTGTCTTCTTCTTTGTTCATTTGGATGCTTTTATTTATATTTGTTGTCTGATTGCTGAGGCTAGGATTTCTAGTCCCAGTAGTATACTGAATAGCAATGGTGAGAGTGGACATCCCTGTCTTGTTCCTGACCTTAGAGGAAAAGCTCTCAGTTTTTCCCCATTGAGGATGATACTAGCTGTGGGTCTTTTGTATATTTATGATGATGAGGTGTGTTCTCTTTATCCCTACTTTGTTGAGGGTTTTAATTAAGAAGGGATGCTGTATTTTTTAAATATACCTGGGTCTGATCTCTCACATTCGATCTTATGTCCCTGGGTCAAGTCACTCAAACCTTCTGAATCTATATTCACAAGGAATGAATAAACTATCATTATTATGAGATCCCACACTTGCAAATCTGCACGGAAAAACAAAGATTGGTATAATATGCACAAATATACAATATGTACAAATATGTTGAACATTATGGAACTAGTTCCCAACATCTGGCCCCAAACAACATTCTCTGCTTAACATCTATTTCTACCCATCTCAGCAAAGTTTTTGTAGATAAATCTCCAGATGGTTGTTGGACTGCAGAAACCAAATACAAATTTAGTGCAAATGGATTGCAGAGATTAAGTGTAGATCTTGAAAAAGTTACAGGATCTCATTGTTAGTGAAACTCACACTGGGGAACTCCTCAAATTACACAAAGATCTACTAGAGTTAACCTAGTTAACAACTCAAATACAAAAATGTAAAAAATATGATATATGGGTGCCTTAAAAATGATGATTTTAGAGGCACTGGGATGGCTTAGTGGGTTAAGCATCCAACTCTTGAGTTCAGCTCAGATCATGATCTCACAGTTGTGAGATAGAGCCCTGCATGTGGTTCTGCACTAGGCATGGAGCCTGCTTGGGATTCTCTCTCTCTCTCTCTCTCTCTCTCTCTCTCTCTCCTTCTCTCCCTGTCCCTCCCAACTCCCCCCCATCTCATGTCTCCCTCTCAAAAAAAATAATTTAAGAGAAGCCATCAGGAAATCTGTAAAAATTGAAAAATGAACTTTATAATTGCCCTGTGAAGAAATTACTGTAATGCAGCATGACAGAGAATGTACACAAACAAACAATGACTCACTGCCTACTCATTTTCATGAAAGCCACACTAGGTTTTTTGTTTGTTTTTGTTTTTTGGTGGTGTAAATTGAATTGTTCAATTTTATTCAATCTAAGTAACCTAGTGTGTTACTAGGTTTCAGATCTAGTGTGTCTAGATCTGGTTTTAATAATAATCTAAATTTTATTATGTATAAGGCAATTTATTTTCATGTTTCTTTTTAATTTTCTTCTCACTTGGGGTTTACTTAGGTTTTCTTTTGCTAGTTTCTTAAAGTAGAACCTTATATCATTGATTTCAGACCCTTTTTATTTTCTAATAAAAGTGTTCAATACTATAAATTTCCTTCCCTCTCCACACTTCAGCTACATCACACAAATGTAGATATGTTTTGTTTGTGTTTTTATACACTTCAAAATATTTTTAAGTTTTCTATGTGATTTCTTCTTTGACCCATTGGTTATTTTATAAGTATGTTGTTTAATTTCCAAACATGTGGGGATTTTACATATATCTTTTTGGTTTTGATTCCTAGTTCAATTGGGTTCTGTTGAGAAAATATACTCTTTGTGATTTCTATCCTTTAAAATGTATTGAGACGTGTTTTATTGCCCAAAATATGGTCGGTGTTGATGAACGTTCCGCATGCACTTGAAAAGAATTTATATTCCATTGTCTGGGGATAGAGCACACTGTAAATATTAGTTACAATTGGTTGTTAATGGTATT